ATATATACATGGGCTAATCCAGAGATATGAACAAATATATGTTAGTGGTATGATAAATGTTATAGAAATGATATGATGTTGTGTGTGTATAGTGTTTGATTGGAAAGGTTAAGCATAAAAGTATGTGATTACATGATAAACTGTTAATGATGAGTTATGTGTATGTATGTATTTACTGTAATTAATCTGATATGATTTTATATGATACGAATAAAGCATGCAATTTGGTATAACATGATAGAACATAACATGCATGTATTAATATATGTTATAAAGTGCATTATAAGTTTTTATGCCTCACTAAGTCTTCGACTTAGCGTGTGATTGTTTCACACGTAGGTTTCGAGAAGAGTAAAGAGTAATGCGGAGCAAGACAGGTCAGTTCTCCTTATCAAATGTCAGATCAGAAAATATATGTACTGGTTATAGAGTGTAGTTGACATGTAGTCTAAAGATATAAATTGTATGAACTCTGATATATTTTGTAAACGTTTTGAATGAGTTAAATGTTATCAAAGTTTTTAAATTACTCACTATTTTATACGAATAAATATTTAAAAAGTCAATATGACACTTCGAACTTGTATCCAGGTCGAATACGGGTTGGGTTGAGGGTGTTACATTTGTTGTCATAATATTTTCCTTAATTGATAAGGGCTATTGTCGTGTCACCATGCTTCATTGCCGCATTCTGTTTGTTTTTGCTTGTCGCATCTCTCACAATCACCTACTGTTCTACCTGACAAACTTTTCTTTATCATTAAGCCTTGTCTCCATAATTATGCCAAACACATATGCTCATTCTTCATGAAGTTTCTACGTTAATCGTTGCCCACACTTCTAACTACTTCAATTAAAATGCTGGATTTTTATTTTTTTCAATGATATCATTAGATTATTAATTTGATAATAGCATGATATTATAGATAACGGTTATTAACGTAGATGTCATATCAAAATGATAATATGTTGTATATTAAAATAATACGGTCAAAATAACATTATTTTTGATGTATCATTTACGTCATAACATTATATTGAATTAACAATCTAATGATATGATTAAAACGAAAATAAAAGTTCAACATATTAATCAAAACAATTGAAAGTTTAATTGTATGGACAATACAAAATCAAAAGTAGAGTGATGTCTGATGTAGTTTTAATAATAATTTAAAGTTGCATTGGGTTTGTTGTAGATTGAGTCTTTGATTCTCACTGTTCTTAAACTTACTTAGAAGGCTCTGATGTATTTCATTTGGGAGGAATGAAATTGGAGACACTCTATGGGGACTGGGGATGAAATCGTAATATTTTTAAAATATTGGAATCACATCTCATTAAGGTCAACATTGATGACAAAATTGTAATAGATCCTCAAAGGCAAAGTCATTTTCCTCTACATTGTTCCAATTTCTTTAAAAACAAACGGCAAAACCATGTGAGCTCAAATTCTCCAACTCATTCCCTCCCTTTTCTCCTCTCCTTTGGTCCCACCAAACGACCGCGTTTCCAATCGCCGGGCAATCGCCCCCGTAGCACGGTGGGCCAAAACGTTGGACTTGCTGCCGGAAAAACCATCAGGTAAAACAAAATATTAAGTATGCAACTGTTTTCCTTTTCTTCTTATTATTCTCAATCAGTTTGGATGAAACAGAGATGCTATTTATGAACAATTTAATTTTGATGTGTAAAGTTTTAGGATGATAAAAGTTATTCCAAATTCTAATAGCAAAAGCAGGAATGATGGGGGAACAAACCCTTGAGTAAGCAAATGCTCAGAATTAATTAGTAGTGTGTAGGGGTGTAAATAAACGGGATGAACGAAAAATATTGTTGTTTATATATTCGTTTCGTGCTCATATATATTTTAATATTGTATTCGTTTATTTATTTTTGAATATGTGTGAACATATTCCTTTTATTTACTCGTCATCTTCGAAATGTTTGGTGCACACTCTTCATAGCTTCTAATTTGCATGCTAAAATGGTGAAATTATGTCATTAATCCTCAGCTCTTTAGTCTTCACAATTTAAATTCTGAAGTTTACCTTGTGTTCAATTTAGTCCATACTTTAACCAAATTTCAAAACGTAAAAAAAAAAAAAAGAGAATTGGATAAATGAGTTAATAAATGAGCTTATTTGTGAACATTAATGAATCAAACATAAATGTACAGATCTATTAGATACATGGGAGGGGTTGTGGCCCACCCCAACCCGATAATTGTTTTGACATTTAATTTATATATAAAATTTAAATATTTATGGGATGAATATGAATTGCTCCCTACTTTTAGAAAACTTGTACTTTTCCGTATCAAGTTAGGATTATGGCTCAGTCCTCGCGAACATATATATGTTCATATTCGTTCGTTTATTTAAACAAACATAAAATTTTGTTCATACTTGTTTATTTAACTTAAAAACCGAACATAAACGAAAGGTTCACAAACAATTTATCAAACGCTTTGTTCATTTACATCCATGTAATGTGTTTCTGGCTATTATTTTGAACTCGATATTTTTATGGTTTAGAGGTAACAATGTTGGAATATTTTGTTGATAATGCTACTTGGGACTTGGAAGCATTGCCTAACTGTAATTCCTAGCTTATATTTTGAACTATGTTACACGGACCTTTTAGTTTCTCTAAGGTATTGATGTCTTACACTTATTTGGATATGGGGTACGATCCTCCAAATAAATGAAAAATCTTCTGAAAAATAATAAGCATACTTGTATTCGTCACTCACCACTAAATATATTTATATATCCCTCGCAAATTGAAATGTATATACATGTGATGGGGATTTTTTTAATGAGAGAAACAGAGTAATTCATTCAGTTCTGTAATGATTTGCCATTTTGTTTTTCACTTTGCTCAACTTAATCAATTTTCCTAAATTGTTCCTAAATGTAGTTGCAATGAGTCTGCGTGGATGCAGTGCACCCTCTGGGGTGTTTCCTTGAGTTCTACGTTATCTAATCCCTTTCCATGTAGTTCGATTTTTGTATCAATTCCACGTTTGCCTACAACAAATTCATTATTATACAACCGGAATTCTTGGACGCATGATCGGGATACAAAGTCTCGGCAAGTTAAAGGTACGTGGAAATCCTTTTTCTCCTTTCAAAATGCATCATCAGGCATACTTACTGGAAGAATAATGTTCTAAGCTATGCCTATGAAAAGGACAAACTACGTTTCCCTAAAGGCTCTGCATATATGTATGTACTCATTCTAGTTTGCTTCTTCAAAATGCATCATCGGGCGTACTTACAGTAAGCGGGATGCTCTGAATGACGCTTATGACAAAACCAAACTATGTTTTCCCAAGAACTCTGCATATATGTATGTACTCATTCTAGTATGCTTCTGAATCACTTTTTGAAATGCATCACCGGGCATACTTACAGTAAGCGCAATGCTCCGAATCACGCTTATGACGAAATCAAACTATGTTTTCCTAAGAGCCTGATCATATTTGTATTTGCTCATTCTAGCTTGCTTCAGAATTGCCTGAATTGTTTGCTATTTGTCCAATTTATGATCTTTGAATTTCAGGTTTGCCTCCCTTGCACCTTTCCACTGCATCAACCCCTCTATTAACTGGGAATTTTGGTGGCTTGTCTCACACGGTACCCTTGTTTCCTAGGCGTAGGAGCTCTTCTTCGGCGCCTCGAGCATCGAAGGATGTGCCAAACAGTTTTCGATATTCCCCTATGACTAAGAAGCCTAAATGGTGGAGGAGTTTAGCATGCCTCCCTTATTTAATGCCTCTCCATGAACCATGGATATACGCAGAGACAGCATATAATTTACACCCCTTCTTGGAAGACTTCGAGTTTTTGACCTACCCGTTTCTCGAAGCCATTGGAAGGTTGCCGAGCTGGTTTCTAATGGCGTATTTCTTCGTAGCATATCTGGGAATCGTGAGGAGAAAGGAATGGCCTCACTTTTTCAGATTTCATGTGGTGATGGGAATGCTACTGGAAATTGCGTTGCAGGTGATTGGGACCGTGAGCCGCTGGATGCCGCTGGCTATATATTGGGGTAAGATTGGTATGCACTTTTGGACGGCTGTGGCATTCGCCTACCTGTTTACGGTTGTGGAGTGCATTAGGTGTGCTCTTGCTGGTATGTATGCTGACGTTCCTTTTGTTTCTGATGCTGCATACATCCAAATCCCATATGACTGAGCCTGAAATCGTAACCCATTGAATGGCCTCATTGCTCCAAAGGTATGCTCTTCTCCCGGTTCGAGTAATGCATCTGCAAAATATACTATTATCAATCAGTTAAGAAAATTTCTGAACAAATATGTAAATATTATTCCCACATATATTACATAATTGGTAGGTGACAATTTAAATTCTCCATTATGCTATTATTAGGGTGAGTAAAACTCAACTTGACTCGAAAATATCCAATATTTTCTAACTAGATTCAATGCTGAAAAACTTGACTCTATTCGTATTTTTATAAACTCAACTCGAAAAAAAATTTAAATTTGGATTGAACTATAAAATAGGACTCGAATAATTCAAATTTTTTGCAACTAATGACTTGGTTTTCAAGTTCGAGTGGGATCATCAATTCTACATTATATATATATATATATATATATATATATGAAACATGAAAAATATATATATATATATATATGTACATCATATATAATAATAATAAATTATTTAAATTATATTTAATTAATATTATAATATTGTTTAAACAAAAAGTCAAACAATTCGATTCAACCTAAATTTTATAAATTCGACTAAACTCAAAAAAATTCAAATAAAGTATGTTGTATAAAATAAAATTTATCAACTCAAATAACTCTTGTATTTACCGATTCGATTGAATATTCACCCCTAACTATTTCGCTTCAACATAAATTTTAGGTTGTTAATCAAGTAACAGAATACAAACAACACTAGCTTTTCCACCATGCTCCTATGCTTCATTTTTCCTAAAATATGTGTGTTCGGATTTTGTCCAACACATAGCAACTAAGCACCAAAAGGAGATTAAATAACAACAAAAAAATTTAAGCAATGTTACTAAAACAAAGAAAGAGGAAGTGAGGTTCAAACCACCACCATTAATCATAGCTCAACAAGTTGCAACCTAAGACTCATCCGTCTCTGGAACAAATTGTTGTGTTAGCAGTTATAAATCTTCAATTTGCTCTACGGTACTAAAATGTGCATCGATTTTGTTGAAAGTTTCTTGATCAATTTCGATTCGAGTGAGCAGATGATGTGCTACTTGTCTGGGAGTCTCTATACACTCTTCGTTAAATGCTTTGGTATCTTTCGTTTCCGTCTCAGAAGACATCGAGCTTTGATTATAAAGCTGTGCTTTCATCTCCATGCACGATTTTAGATCCTCTTCATTTCGAGCTTTGTTCAACTTGTCGACAATATCACTTACAACTGAAGCTCTCACAGCCCACAAGCTTTTAATCTTGTTCAACTTACTGTCCAGTTATTTTGGTCGTCTGGATCATTAGCACCATCATTTGCTTCAGTTCTCAGAAGCTTTTCTATTCCTGATCAACAATTTGTTTTATCCTCTTTCTGGCATTATCGGTTCTCACCGGGTCGGATTTTAGGGTCAGCTTCAGACCTGAACCCATCACTGAAGTCTCATATTCCTTTGAAGTGGGGCTAGGCCTAGACCCTCCATCCTCATCGGATCCTTCATCCATAGATTTTATAGAAAAGACTTCCTCAAGTAAACTAATATTCTGCATGTACCGGTCAAAAGCATCGTTTTCAATTTCAATATTTCCATCCTTGAATTCCTTCAACTTGGAAAACCTCCATTCGTTTAAGGCTATAGCATCCTGAAACAACATACCAGTTCAAGACCTATACAGTAATATAACAAACTTGAACAGGAGTATCTGTTTACTATTAACTAAACTGCACCTTTCGTGTCAGGTGTTTCTTCATTCGGACCTGCAGATTGTCAAATTGTGCAAAAGCATTGGAAAGTTGCCGAAATGAGGGAGCCCTTAAGGGTGTCCTGAATAACATGCAACATGTGGGGGGGGGGGGGGATCAGCCACAAGTCGAAATTTAAATGACAAACTCAAAAATCAATTTAAAGCCTAGAAAGATAGGGTTGAACAGCTGATGTAGATAACAAATATAATGAAGTCAGCAACTAGTAAAAAATGAAAAAACAAAATTGTAGGGGGCCTGAAGATTTTAGGAAAACAAAGTTCACATTGGAGTTTGAGAAGATAGGAAACAAAACGAATTCTAGAGCCAAGGCATTCAATAATCGTCTGCTGGTTTTCAGAACCTATGCTAGTTAAAATTCTTGAAACAGTATCAGTGATGGTAGAATATCAATATACTAAACATGAGAATAGATGTACATTTCCAGCGAGGCCCATTTTGACCAACATGACACAGCTACGTTTTCCTACAGGGAATGTTACATGCATGCAATAACAAATCTTGTGAACTATATCGGCTTGCAATGACAGTTTCACATAGAAACATAAGCTGTGCAGGCAGATACACACTTTCTGCTTTTTGTGTCATAGTTTCAAAAATGAAAGGAAATGCATATATTGAATAGTTGATCTTTGCAACTTACACTTGCGAAGACAACTGTGTTGACTTCTGCTCCGACAAAGGAGTGCTTGAAGTCGGAGACTTCTCTGGAAAGGCTGAAGTTGACTTTAAAACTGCAATTACCATGTAAATCACGATCGAGTTATTTATGTCTTCATTGCTTCATTCGTAAACAATACATACGCTTGCGTATTAAGAACAAATTTTTCATTTCTGTACAAAGCAAAGGAAACTACGAAACTACTCCGGTGGCAATTCTTACATAAAAGATATCCCATTTTCCTCTGAATAATGGGCCGAGCCAGATAACCCGTAGGAGATCACCTTAACAGAGCATGCTTTTAGAATAAAATTAAACCTAAGCTCAGCATATTGTAAAGCCTTTCAATAGAATAAATGACCATTCCGGAAAAATTAAAACATATTATCTTGTGAAATAAGCAACTAACAATACTAAAAGTTCTACCTCAAGAATCAGAACATCCCTAAAGAAAGTGAATAACTAGGTGACTACCAAGAATACGCAGGTCTTTGTAATGTATTTCAGGAAAATACACATTCTAACAGTTTCCAACATGAAATATACTTCATATCACCCACTAGCATTAAAACTCCCACTTCAACTTCACAAGTAACCACAAAATTAGACATAATCTGATAACCAAAACAACTAACATTTGACAATAACCAAATGAACTCATCTTCCAAGTTTCCTAGACATACCATGAATATGACATGGATTTTGTGCTTTTGAGCAACAACTCTTGCAGGAACGATATGGGCACCTGCATAAGAAATCGAAGTAATTCGAATGATTTGATATGAAAACTTGTCAAACTCAAGAAACCATTAAAAGAAAGAATTGCAATCAAACACCAGAAATGAAGCTTTTAAAAGTCCTCAATTGGATTAAACTAATCAAATATCTAAACTTAAGTTTACAAATTTTACCACAGTTTATAGCATAAATTTTCCTGCAACTTTTGAACAAACAAAAACCAGAACAAAAATTAACAACCAAATTAAATAAATCCGGAGTCTAAAATTCAAATTAACTTAACGTATCTTGTAGTTTCATTGGATGAGCAAATGATTTGTTCTAAATTTCCACACAAAAATGGAAATTAAAACAAGAAAGAATCCCATAATTACATATGAAAATAAATTTTAAATAAAGGGAGATCTTTTTACCTGGAACGGGCAACATTGCCGCATTGAATACATTTAGGCTTATTAAGCCCGCGTTGTGTCTTAGGCAGCATATCCATGCGCTGAAACGGCGTAGGAGGATGAGGTGTGGCCGTCGTCGTCGCCGATGGCGATGAGGCTGACATTTTAAAGCACGTGATTATCGTTTTCACTCCTTTTCTTCTTCTTTGAAGAACTGGGTGTCTGAATTACGCGCTCTCCGTTGTTTTCTATTACAATTATTATTTTTCTGAGGAGATGGGATTGGATTTGGGGGAGATTTTGGAGTGTGTTTGAAATTTGGGATTTTGGGAAGAAAATTGATTTACAAGGGAGTCAAAGAAAAATTATATTAGGGCTTATTATATGGGCTGGGCCTTTGGGTTTCACTTCTAAAACTCATTTGCTTCTTCTTACGCATTTTTACGATAATTATTATCTCATGTATTAGCGATAAAACTAATTATAGAGCAGAGTTTTAAGATTGTCATGTATTATATTTAAGATTTAAGTAAAAAAGTATACGATCAGATGATACGATCTAATTGAAATATTAAATTTATTTAATTGAACTAAAATTAGGATTAAATTGATAGAATGTATAAATATTAAGACCAAATGTACAAGTATATCAAATCTTTTAACAACCACATCACCACTCTCAATAAATGTTAATGATAGGTAGATTGATTGACATACTTAAATAATTAAGTGATTTGATTGACAAAATTTCATAATCGATGGTCGAAATGAGAAGGCGCAATAGTTAAGTGGTCATATAAATAGCTTATCCAAAAATGTCATCCTTTGATAAACAAAAACCGCAGTTGACAATTATGATGGTGATGTGATTGTTCGCAATACTAACATGATGGTTCATTATGCTTACATAGTAATTTATTGTATTGATGTGTCAATCTATGAGTGAATGATGACGTGATATATATGTTTAATTGATTATTTTTAAAAAAATTTGAGGACTTAATTGATTCTTTTTAAAAGTTTGAAGGCTTAATTGATTTTTAAAAAATTTAAGGACTTGGTTGATACTTTTAGAAAGTTCGAATTCTTATTTAATCTTTTAAAGAATATAATTAACAGTTATTTAAAATTTAAAAATGCAAATACTAAAATATTCTAAAAAAAATAAATATTACGAAATTACTAAAAATGCTATTAAAGCTTTCAAAAAAATTAAAATACCAAAAAATATAAAATGTTATATTAAAAGTATTCGACTATCTCTTGTAAATTTGAATTTTATTCATCATATTTCTGCAATTATCTCTTATAAGTTTGAAATTCGTTCACCATATTTTCAGTAGAACTTATCTTGCATTAGAGAAAACGGACACTAAGTTTACAGTATTCGTGTTCACTGTTACAAAGAATAACAGAATACAATACATACACATATGAATATTCACAACCAATAAAGAGCACCAAATCAGGAATTTCATGTCATTTCTTAGTATACTATAAAATAATGCATTATCCTCCAATGTGAAGCTTCTATTTTCTGGGGGTATTAACATTGACATTGATTGAAACTTCCTGTTCCCCGCATTTATCTAAACAAATTAATTCAATGATTCAAAACCACAACTTGCTTAAAGGTAAAGTAATAATTAATAGCTAGAGTAAAAAAAATAAAATATAAAAATCAACCACGACAACTCGATGAGCCTTTTTTACAAGTTAAGGAACACATTGAGCCTTTTTGATCAGTTAAGGTGTAAGATAATGCTCAATGGAAAGTGTGTGCAATATAGAATCATCTTGTACACACATATGGATGGTAAAGATTGTTGGATATATGAACTGCAAAACTACACCGTTAGCACTGACTGAAAATATAAACAGTAATTAAGAAGAACAGATTCGTAAACCGTGTCGTGGTAAGAACCACTGCCTTAGAAACGAATTCGCCTCGATGTGTGTAATCGCTGCAGTAGGCGGACCGTCCCCCGAGGTTAACACGGTCGCTCCAAATTCCGTACACCCGAAACCGGAGTGGACTGCTGGTGGTATTGTACTTCTGATCGGAAAGCACTCAGAGAGAACTCACGGAGAGAACTTTAGAAAACACTTTGTAAGTGAATTGTAAAATGTTTTGGAGTGAGTTGAGAAGCTGAATATAGCTCTCTATTTATAGGCTAGAAATAGGGTTAAAATCGTCCATAAAATTTCAGGATTAAACCTCTTATTTGTAACAGCTGAAACGTCTAGATGAACCTGACTCAGAAATAGTCCAGGTTCATTGTATCATTATTCAGCTGTTATAACTCCCGAAATTATATCATGTAACCCCTGGAATTAAATCAAATAACTCCTGTAACTCCTGATATTAACAGCTTGTCTCCTCTGTACAAAGCTGTAAATCAGTCCAGGTACATCTTAACGTTTCTGATTTAATTTAGGAATAAACTGTTTAATTTCTGATAAAAAAAATAATAATTCAGCTGTTATTATTTGAAATTCAAACAGTCCTCAGCAGCCTATAAATATCAGTTGATATCTTTCACATTTTCCATTTGTTTCTTTCAAAGAGAAATTCCTCAAGAATTTTCTCTAAAAAGATAGTATCCGCGCGGACGTGTCGAAGACACGTATTACCACGACCACGACCACGACCACGACCACGACCACGACCTCGACCTCGACCACGACCACGACCACGACCACGACCACGAGCCGAGCCGAGCCGTGCCGAGCCGAGACGAGACGAGACGGACGGACGGCGGCGGCGGTGCGCGAGAGCCCCCCTTGTTCTCTATCACTCAACAAGGAAGTGGAATGTCAAGCCTTAAATACCATTCCCAATAGTGTTTCCAACACTATGTGGGATTGAGCATTACCAACATTCCCCCACTAATGCGAAAGAAATCTTCTGAAACTCGAAAACAAGCTTTCCAGAAGAGTAATAGCGAGATTAGTTGCTTAAGCACTAGTGAACATATCTGGAACTAGTACATAGTGATGATGAGCAATCCTTCTCTTAGATAAGTGAAACTAGTCTGGAACTTTCTAAGATCAGGGTAAACTCATAACACACAACTAACCCCTTCATCCACCTGAGTCCTCGATGTGTAAGATATATATATACAAACGTATATATTTGGCCATCTTACCTCAGGATTCTAGTAAGTGTGCTAGAAAAACAGTCCAACATTTTTCATAGAAGGCGGCTAACCCTTCTCACTTACATAGGTTATTTCATCAAGTTTATCTCAACATAAACCACCCTTTAAAAAGGAATATGAAATAATTAAGAGCTTTTATAATAGCTCAACCTCACAAAGGGTTTGGTGACTTTTTTCAAGTTCATTATAAATGAACCACCCAAACTCTGGGCTAAGAAGTCATTAAGAATAAATATTCAACCTCATTTATCGGTAAATTCAATAAGTCCTTCTCACTAGAACCATCCAAATACTTGGATTTGAATTTATTAAGAGTTTAACAAACTCAACCTTTCTGTCGGTAAGTTCATCATTTCCTACCCACTCGGTCTGGGTTATGAACTTATTAAGAATAGATATTCAGCCAAAATCGGTAAATTCATCAAGTCTTTCTCACTAAGACCACCCAAAGCCTGGGCTATGAATTTATTAAGAGCAATTAAGCTCATCCTGGGCATGCACATTATTCATCATAGGGATAGGCAGTAGGAATGTGCACTATGAGTCTTTCCATGGTTTCGTTTGACCACATGGAACTTAGATAACTAAGTTGGGTATCCACCATGAATTCCTCAACCAATGGGCTTTAGACCCATCCCCCTCGATGAATCTAGGACCAGCTTCCGACTTAACCCTTTGGTAAGTGGATCTGCTAGGTTCCTTTCCGACTTCACATACTCTAAAGAGAGCACTCCATTCTTTATCAAGTGTCTAACTGATTCATGTCTTATGCGAATGTGTCTTTTCTTACCATTGTAAGCTTGGTTCTTAGCCACACATATTGCAGCTTGTGAATCACACAACAATGAAACTGGAGGAGTCGGTCTTCCCCACAACGGAATATCTGCTAACAAGCTTCTGAGCCACTCGGCTTCTTGCCCAGCTAGGTCAAGAGCTATAAACTCTGACTCCATGGTAGAACGAGCAATACAAGTCTGCTTTGATGATTTCCACGAGATCGCTGCTCCACCCAAAGTAAAAACATACCCGCTCGTAGAGCTTACCTCATCATTATCAGAAACCCAGTTGGCATCACAATATCCTTCCAATACCGCAGGAAAGCCAACAAACTCAAGTTTCCAATTCACAGTACCCTTAAGATACTTCAGTAAGCGTTTAAGCGCAATCCAGTGCTCACCACTCGGATTATGAGTATATCTACTTAGTCTACTCACAGCATAAGCAATATCAGGCCGAGTATAGTTCATTAAGAACATTAAACTTCCGATTAATTTAGCATATTCAGTTTGGGAAACACTACTTCCTTTATTCTTAACTAGATGTATGCTAGGGTCATAGGGAGTTCGAACAGGGACGACATCAAAACTGTCAAATTTCTTTAGCACTTTCTCTATATAATGTGCTTGACATAAAGAAAATCCCTTCTCAGTTTTGGTAATTTTGACTCCTAAGATTACATCTACTTCTCCCAAATCTGTCATCTCAAACTTAGTGGACAAGAAATTTTTAACTTTGTTAATGGACTCAATGTTAGAACTGAAAATCAACATGTCGTCAACATAAAGACTTATGATAACACATTCAGTTTCAAACATCTTCGAATACACACAAGCATCCGAACCATTCACAACAAAACCAAAACTAAGAATAGTTTTATGAAATTTCTCATACCACTGTTTAGGAGCCTGCTTAAGTCCATAGAGTGACTTTTTGAGTCTACAAACTTTGCCTTCCATACCAGGTGCCTCAAAACCTAGTGGTTGCTCCATGTAAATCTCCTCATCTAGATCCCCATTCAAGAAAGCAGTCTTAACATCCATTTGATGTACCTGCAACTTATGAATAGAGGCTAGTGCAAATAATGCACGAATCGTTGAGATTTTTGTAACGGGAGAGTATGTATCAAAGTAGTCTAAACCAAACCTTTGAGTGACCCTTTGACGACTAACCTTGCCTTGTACCGCTGAATCGAACCATCTGGCCTTAGTTTCTTCCGGAAGACCCATTTGTTGGAGATTGGTTTGAATCCCTTAGGCAAGTCAACTAATTCCCAAGTATGATTAGACATTATCGATTCTAGTTCATCATTAACAGCGCTTTTCCAAAAACTAGCATCGATAGATCTTATAGCTTCTTCAAAAGTTTTAGGATCCTC